GAGTATTGTGTCCAGTTTTGGTGGGCTTACATGAGGAAGGATGTGGTGGCACTGGAGACAGATCAGAGGAGGTTCACCAGGTTGACTCCAGGGATGAAAGGGCTGTCGTACGAGGAGTGGTTGAATAGTTGGGGCTTCTTCTCACTGGAATTCAGAAGATTGGGATTGGGGGGGGGGGGGTTTGATTGAGGTATATAAAATGCTAAAGGGGATTGATAAGGTGGACATTGAAGAGATGATCCCCCTTGTGAGACAATCTAGAACAAGATGGCTTAGACATTGAGTAAGAGGAGGTAAGTTCAAAACTGTGATGAGGAGAAACTACTTCTCTCAGGGGGTTGTGAATCAATGGAACTGAGTGCCCCAAAGTGCAGTGGAGGCAGAATCAAGAAAGAATTAGATATGTATCTGCTGAAAAGTGGGATAAAGGGTTATGGGGAACAAGCAGGAAAGTAGAGTTGAGACTAGGATAAGATCAGCCATGATCATGTTAAATGGCAGAGTGGGCTCAAAGGACTGAATTGCCTTCCCCGCTCTTAATTCCTATGTCCCTTTGTCTCCTTGGGGTTAAAATTGATAGCTGTGTTAATTGCCACATTTGAAATTGGTTTTGCATGGCATATTTTAATTTTTACTATACTCCACAACACTTCTAGTCTGCTGAGTGTGAAAGTTGTAGGAAATGCCTCCCCTTAATATTGAATGAACGGTAACAAATGGGGCATCTGCACTGAGCCCATAATTGCAGCTGTGCACTGAGCTTTAAGGTCTTCCCTCCACCATAATGGGCACAGTGTCCAAACATGAGTGGTTGGCATGTACAACCCCACTTTCTATAAAATGAGCAGCTCTTCTTACTGGAGCTCACTACCAACTTATGCCTTTTCTGCGGTAGTATATTTCTAAACCTGGCCCTTGCACATGCCCACACAGCTGGCTTCATTCTCAGTCCAAGTGCAGCACCAATCCATAGTACTAAGTGAAAGGCATGTTTCTGTAAGTGGAGGAGGAATTTATTTTTCAAAAATAATTTACATTACTTAATGCAACATAAGGACGTATAGTCAATTCCAGTTTAGTGATTATGATTTTATCTTTCTATTCTTGAATGTGCATAATGCCACCATGCCAATAAATTAATTGCAGGCAATGCATGTCTTCAGCGAAATTCAGACATATGATATCAGGAGAGGACTCTGTATGTAGGATCATTCATTTTTCTTCCTGGGAAGTGCAGCAATTGGCTGAAGAAGGCAACTGAAGAAACTGTAAGTGGGCCCTCTTGAGTACACAGAGTCTAGAACCCAACATGATTGTGGATAATCAGATAGTTTGTATGATGTGCTGTCATTTTGGCTTGGCTTTCCAAGGAGCGTCAACCACAGTCAGACTGCCACTCCACCTCTTTCTCTGTTAGTTCTGAGCTTGATATTTCTAGACAGGAATTCTCCTGCAGGAATGAGGAGCACACGTGAAATTAAACACTTCCCTCTTCATGCAGGATAGTTGGGGATGGGGGAAGTGGAGGAATCAAACCACGCAGAGTTTTGCTGTGTCATATTCTGTGGTTTAAATGTCCAGCAGCACAGACGGGCTTTTTTACAGCTGTAAGGTAAGTGTGGCGTTAGGGTGGCATTTAGTTAAGGGGTTAGGATATCAGGTTGTAGAGTACCAGGTGAATACAGTATCAGGTGAGTAGCTTGCCAGGTGGGTAGGTTGCCAGATAAAATGGTGGAGTTCTTCGGGTAGGTTGGGGGTGCTGGTAGGGTGGAGCTGGACTGCATTAGGGCCTGTGACAGTAGGATGTTGGGGGAATGTCAGGACTGGCAGAGGGTAGGGATATCAGGACTGGCAATAATAACGGAGGAGAGTTAGGGCCAGTGGGAGTGTGCTCAAGGCTGGCAGGGGTAGGATGTTGTAGGCACCCGAGGCTGTTGTGCTGGGGGTCACTGGACGAGGAGCTATCCATCCCCCAGAGTGGACGTCAGCAGAAGGAATGAATGAGAGTATCGGGGCAGACAAGGGGGTGGTGTTGGTGTGTGTTAGGGGTGCTGGTTGGTATTAATAGTGGGCAAGAGGAGTGACTCTGAACACTGGGATACTCCAGTACAATCCTTCCTCCAGCTCGACAAACATCCATTGCCCATTACTCTCTGTCTCCTATCCCTTCACCAATTTTCTATTCGCATTGCTACAACCTATAAATAGCCTCAAGTCTGCTGTGTGGCATTGTATCAAACACCTTACGGAAGTCCATGTATATTACATCATTGTCCCTTTCTGTTACCTCTTCAAAAAGCTCCAGCAAGTTAGTTAAACAACGATTTCCCCTTTAGAAATCCAGGCTGACTCATACTTAAGAAACCCTGGAACAGAAACAGAAACTCAGCAGGTCTGGCAGCATCTGTGCCAAGAAAGCAGAATTACCTGTTCTGATGAAGAATCACCAGGCTCAAAACGTTAACTCTGTTTTCTCTCTCTAAATGGTGCCAAACCTTCTGTTTTTGTTTTAGATTCCCAGAATGCATAGGTCTGTGTTTTATTAGCGAAACCCTGGTACCAAGTGACTAGATTCCATACCCTGAAATCTGGGATATGGTGGCACTAAAGAGAAACAAACTGAGGGTAGGTGAGGGAAGTCCTCTGCTCATTCAGCCCAAGTATTGACCCGTGCTTTAACACCCCAACCCCCCCGCCCCTGTTAGCGCCCTGAGGTGGGAAGAAGGTGACTGAGCCACCCAAAGGTGGCCAGTCACTGGGGAGAAACCCCACTTAATTTTCTGAATTTAAGTCTGTTTCTTTCTGCTGTCACTTACACTGACCAAATTTTGCACTGTACATCTAGCAATAGTCGGATTTGTAAATATTAAATCCCTTCCCTGATTGCATTTTAATGACATGCAAATAGCTTTCTTCATTCTAAGATGTTGAAAGGCAGGTTCATAAACCATTGCATTGTTATGCCAATGGAAGTGTATTATTAGCCATTCTTTTGTTTCTTTAACAGTATCTCTTTCTAAGTTATTACTTGTTATTGTGAATAGTGAGATCAGTTTGAAATAACCACAGAAAGAATTGTGCAAATTAACTTGGCTATAGGATGCAAAAAATGTTGTTACAATAAACATCAGTCCTTAAATTGGATGATGCTGCCCCCAGCTCTTTTCTGACATTTGAAGTAAAATATTCTACAGCAGTATGAAATATCAGTTTAATCATTTTGTTTATCTACCAAAAGTTACTTTGCTTTTACTGAGGCCTGACATTTATTTGAGCTCGGGCCTGTTTCAGAAGGCTTTCTCCTCACTCACTAATTGTGACGATGACGAAGGACCAGATTTTCTGAGGAGTGACAATCAAAGTTGGTTTACACCCCTGCTCCTTTTTTTAATGAAACGACAGAGCTCTACATTTCTGAGAGCAGATTCTGCCCAGGGCTTCTTCAGTCTGTTCTGACTGTCTTGTTATGGTGCAGTAATCTCGGTGGAAGGCAACCACGTTCTGCACAGTGGTCAGTTGCTGAATTCTGGAATTGGAAGGTCCAGAATCACAGACAGCCACTTTGACAATTGCTGTCAAATAATAAGTGTATCAGGTGAGTATGGGTTACGATGTTGGGATGATAAGAGTGGGACACCAGGTAAGTAGGATGCTGGCTGGGTAGGGATCCAGGTGGGTAGAGTGCCAGGGTGAAAGGGGTGAGAAAATTGATGAAGTGTTGAGGATAGGTCAGGGTGGGTGAGAGAAATCAGGTCCAATGGGGGCTGGGGAGTGTGGGTGTTGGGTCAGGGGAAGGGAAGGCTGTATCTCAGGGAGGGATAAGGCAGAATGGATCTTCATCAGGGAAAGGGGGCTGCTGGGGGAAGGGGTCACAGGTCTCGGGGTTGGAGGGAGGTCATGTCTGGGGCACGTGCTGATGGCTTGGGTCTGGAGTGGATGGAGATAAGTCTACTCTGAAGTGGCTGAAGGAAGGGGGAGAATCAGCTCCTGGGGCCTGATGTAGGGTCAAGTCTCGGGTACAAGGTCCACAGGGTGAAATGGGTCGAGGGAGGTCTAGTTGCGGGGCACGAGAGGTAACTATGGGGTAGGTTGGGTAGTTACTCAGGAGTTAGACTAAGTATTTAATAATCTAACTATTCCCTTGTAACTGTTTACTTAAGTTCATTGGAATCCTCTGAATTGATGACGAGGAATTGTCCAGCAATACTTTCAATTTGCAGAGAAATTCCTTCAGAGTCTGTTACAATGCGGATTCCACAAGATCTCCATACACAACTCCCACCTACACTGGAATAACAACTGTCTGGTCAGCAGACAGTCCAAGCCTTTTTTCTGGGAGAAGTCAATCGCTATTTCTGATAACCTACACTTGTTCCAAAACAAAGATGAGAGAGTTTGCAGCTGTTATATTGGGCACATCACATCTGATTTGCTGGTTTGCTTTCTGCAATTAATTAGAAATTCAGAAAATAAAGAATAACCTATCAAGACTGAAATCAGTGACCAGAGCAGGAAATTTACTGAATTTTTTTCTTTATTATTCACGAGATGAGGGCATCTCTGGCTAAGCCAGCATTTATTGCCCATCCCTAATTGCCCAGAGGGCAGTTAAGAGTCAACCATTTTGCTGTGGGTCTGGAGTCACATGTAGGCCAGACCAGGTAAGGACATTAGTGAACCAGATGGGTTTTTCCAACAATCGGCAATGGGTCCATGGTCATCATTAGACTCTTAATTCCAGATATTTATTGAAATCAAATTCCACCATCTGCCGTGGTGGGATACAAATCCTGGTCCCCAGAACATTATCTGGTCTCTGGATTGACAGTCCAGCGATAATACCATTAAGCCATCACCTCCCCAGTTGCTGATCTGACCATTGCAGAAAATTCCAGACTCACGTTTATATTGAAAGGTTGTTTGTGATACTGTTTTAACGGTCACATTAACATGAGGCTTATTGATGCTACCTCTTAATTGTTTTGTTTCATTTTGAAAAGGCACACCTTCTGGCAGTACCGCAGAGAAAATCCCAAAACTAAGGTTGGTGATCCTCCACCGGACGGCCTCCCTGGATTCAATAGTGGAGTCATGCTGCTAAATTTAGAAGCTATGCGGCAGTCAGAACGCTACAATCAACTTCTGAATATGGAGAATGTACGGAAACTCGCAGAAAAGTATCATTTTAAAGGTCACCTAGGTGACCAAGATTTCTTTACCTTGATCGGAATGGAGTACATAGACCTCTTCCACATTCTGGATTGCACAAACAACAGACAGCTCTGTACTTGGTGGCGGGATCACGGTTATGCTGAGGTCTTTGATCTGTACTTCAAATGTGATGGGCAAGTAAAAATTTACCATGGAAACTGCAACACCCCAATCCCAGATGACTGAGTAAATGAAATATTTGAAAGTGTTTGCAGATGCCTTACAATGCACAATATTTTCTATTGTTAGAAAAATGTGCTCATACTACTTGAAATACTTTTCATTCATTATACCCATTTTATAACTTCTATCTTTATCCCCTCTCATTTGTTCTCCCTCCTCTTTCGGGACAGATTTCAAAACTCTCGTTTTGAGAGAGTCATTGAAATGCTAAATGCACAAAAATAAAATAGTGAAATTTATCAAAGCCTAGAAAGTACGAATAATCAAAAAGTGTGCTATGTTCTCCTTGTACATGTTTGCCCAAAAACAATCAGTATTTTCTCTACCTGATTTCCCATTGTTGCTAGTTTAAGTGACAGAATATGGTGCAATCTTCTTGATGGACCATTTTGCTGCAGGAGAAACCAGTGGTTTGATATGGATCCACTTGGTCCTACTCCATGTGTACCACTGCATTGCCTGTACAAATACTTTTTAAATATCTACACATTGATGACTGATTTGTATCAAATTGTATTTGTTCTTTACATCATGACATGCACAGAGCAATTTGCCTTCTTTTGATTACTTCTTTTGAAACTTGCACCATGTTAAATTAATTCCAAATAAAGCACCTGATATCCTCCAGTTTTCACATTGGATACAGTCCACTTTTCTATAAAGTCCTCTCTGAATTCAGCAACTGAATTAAAAGGAAAAAAAGAACTGGAACATGAAAAGACAGAAGCTATGTGCCATCTCTTCCTTTATATCTTTATGCATGGCCAGGCCTATTGCAAATTTTCTCATACTTGTGGGGCTGGTGACTAAATTTCAGAAAGATGGATTTTCCATAACAGTATACATGAATTTCAGGCAAAATTACAATTCTAAATCAATAAATTCATCATTTAAATGAGTCATTAATAGTAATGACTATTAAAAAGTGCAAGCTACAGAGCAGCGGGGCAGGTAGTGGCATTGTGATATTGTCACTGGACTAGTAAAGTCACAGTAATGTGCTGGGAACATATGTTTGAATTCCACCTCAACAGATGGTGAAATTTGAATTTTAGTACGTCTAATTTTTTTTTCTAAAATTTCTCTAATGGTTAACTCAAAAAACATATTTTTGCCTTTTTGATTAAGAAGTACAGCTGAGGGGAGTGGGGAGGTGGAAGAGAGAGAGAGAGAGAGAGAAAAGACTAAGCCCCAAGTGCAGATCATTGTGGACTGAGACCAAGTTAAAGTACTGGGTTTAATAAACACTGACCTTGATTCACTTCATTTGGGGTCCAGTCTGAGCTGGCCTTGCCAGAGTTCATGCAATAACGGGGTCAGAAGCTGGGTTTTCCTCCTCCTGCAAACTGCTTTGTATAGAACCAGCCAGTTAACTCACTTATTCACCCCCTCTCTCAGCCTCCCACTTACCCCTAACTAATTATCTGTCCCATAAGGGACAGCTGTCGTTCACTTTAGAAATTGTTTTCTTCCAGCCATGTCTGTAATGTTTATGTAGCTTTCTCATTGTGGTTAACGCAATATTTAAAACTCAATTCCCCAAACGGTTTTGCCTCTTTGAAAAAAGACAATTGAAGTTACCTTTGTTTAAGTTATTTCTGTGACCTTGTAAATTGAGTAAAGCCTTTTTTTTGCAATACATGTAAATGAGCAGTTTTGATACTGATTTTCTATATGATTTGTAGGTTTGTTTGTCTATTCAGAACACATTAAATTCATTACTGGTGGAAATGAATGTTGTTTTGTCACTATCCACCTTAAAACTGGTGAAAGTAAAAGTTGAAATGCGTAAGATTTGTACATTGGTTAATAAAATGGGTAATGTCAGATTGATTACATAATACGTTGTGCCCAATCGTCCTTTCTGCCAACTTTCTATTGTGGCCTGCGGTTCTATTCAACAGTCACATAGATCTAGCTGCTAAACAGACTTTAAAATGGCTCCACAAAGTGCTAATGTTGAGACAGCAAACTATATTTAAAGGCAGTAGTGAGGTCTGAATTTGTGTGCCGAGTTACTAAAAGAGTAACTGGCCTAGGGACCATCAGGTTGAACCTCATGGAGCTGCACCTCTGTTTGTACCTTTTCACCCTGTTCTGTGCTTCTTCATGTTCTCCACTCTGTGCACAGGATGGTGTTCATTAATAAAAGGAAATTATTGCAGATGCTGGAAATCTGAAACAAACATAGAGAATACTGAAGAAACTAAGCTGGTCGGCAGGGTCTGTTGAGAGTGAAACAAGAGTTAACATTTTGAATCGGATGAAGCAAAGTGCTGTAAGGTTGAATATTAGCCTTTGTCAACACTTCATCCTGGAGAAACAAAAGAATTAAAATGAATCATGAAGGAAGCTATTGAAATTTTGTGTGATATGAAATTGCAGGGTAAAGTAATAATTGAATTAAAAATTGAGTTGGAGGGAGGAAAGAGAGAATGAGCATATAGGCAGTTTGTAAAAAAATGGTTAGATATGGACTGTGGTTCTCCTCAGGGTTCTGTTTTGGCACTGCATGCTGTTTATAGTGTACATCCAATTAATTGTTGGATACAGGGCTAGAGGGATTGGTGTCAAAATTTAAAGCTAATACTAGACCAGCTACAATGAATAATTCTAAGCACCCAAGGAAACTGCAATGGGACATGATAAAATGGCAGATGATTTTCATTATCAGCAATAATTTAAATGTGGGAAATTAAGTGAGATGAAAAAGAAGGTACAAAACACATTTAAAAACAGTGCAGCAATTGAAAAAGTCATGAAGGAATCTAATAAAAAAAAAGTGTTTTACAGCAAGATTGAATGCTAATCATGCTTCCCGAAGGCAAGTGGTGGAAACCTCTTTTTAATAAATTAGCATGCCATGCACAGTCAGTCATTAAAACGAAATTTTGCCAAATTAAATTGTACCTTTGAATTAAGTATGCAGCAACTGAAAAACACATGCCTTCAGTATCATTACTAATTAAAGGCGACATAGAACTGGAAAAGTAATCTTCCATCTGGGTTTGATCTGCTTTCTTATATGGAAAGCTTTAAAGAACCAGGGGAAGAGGAGGAATTAATGTTTGAGATCAGGTGGCAGCCACGAGGGAGGGAGGGATGGAGGCAAAAGCCCCCTGCAGGCTTGTGGGAGACATAAGGTGTAACTTTAAACTAGACAGGAAGGGTCAATATCTCCTGAAGCTAACTCAAGCAAAATTGTGCAGAAATCAAGTATCGTATGGTAAGGTCAACTGTGAGGTCCTGAGAGTTGAAGATAGTAGAGGCAAGTTGTGGATGTTAGAGGGAGGAATGAGGATTAGGTTGCCAAATTGATGTATTAGGAAGCAGACATTTCCAGTTTGCCAAGGTCTAACTGATGGCGATAGTCAGAAAGCTCTAGGATGAATGACAGTTATGAGGTGGATCCAAAGTCACTGAAGGCAGGGCAAGGGCAATGAAGTGATTCACCAGATAGGCCTGAAATACTTTCATTGCATCCTGATTCCAGTCAGAATGAGATCTCTTGATCACAATTTTGCTGTGAGATTCAGGGATTGCAAACTCCTCACAAACTGCCGAACCAATACTGCTAATTACAAGGAGTGGCTACCTACCCACATCTGTTTGAGTATGAACAGAACCAGAACTTGACATTGTGAGGTCATGGGCTGGTTTTCAATCCATCCTTGCTGTAGGATTGTCCAGAGCTCTCTCCTTGAAATATCTAACTGGTGGCCACTATGTAATTGCACGTGGCCAGCCACTGTGCCTCCAAGTAGAAATGCTATGCCCTTCTGGTCCCACATTTACGACCCTGAGAAGATTCTGTTTAAATAAATCAGTGGGACAGGATAGGGTGCATGAGTGGGCACTGTTGAAAGTAATGCTGAAAATTGTGGAGGTATTCACCACAATCTCCCTATCCTCAAATAGAGGAGATGGTGCCAGAAAACTTGAGAATTGTTCAAAATATTTGTAAGGATGAATCTAGCAATTGTAGACATTACAACTGTGTTGGGTGGAATGGACTGATAGTTGTCTCATTAACCCACCAGTCACAGCATGTGTGCAAATGGTCAATAGCTTCTATTTTGTCCTACGACTGAGTATAAAAGAGGTTTTCACCAGGCTTCTCTAACAAACTAAAAAGAATATGCTTTTTTGTAATACCAAGTGGCAAACATTGGTTGACATCTAAATTGTAATCAAGAACTAAAACTAAATTCCCTTAATTTCAAACATAGACACATTCAAACAACACAAAAAGGCAATAGTCTCTGCAGAGGTGAAAAGAGTGAAATAACCTCTCTGTGGGTCAAGGATCCCCAAATAAAAAGATAGAAGGTGATGACTCTCTCAGTTTACTGGGATTCCTGTCGATGAAATACTGATGGAAAACCTTCAACTCTGACTGCAAGTAACTAGATCTGAATCTTTGGACAGTGATCCCAGTCCAACTTTTCAGGTTTTATGAGATAGCCAGATAATATCAGCTTTGGGCAAATTTATTCAATTCCCAGGCACTTGAGAAAAGGAAAAGGCTGTGAGCTTCTTGGGTGTAATCTTTACTGACTGCACAGGTATGTAAAACAGAAAACTAAGTCCAGAAAGGGTTGATAGGGAGTCATTAGCTTAGAAGCTGCCCGACCCCCACTTAACTTCCCTTGTGTTTTTGAAATCAGTTTTGTCCAGTGATTAGGGCCACAAGCCTCATCTTTCATCTCCTTGAAATCTTTCTTCAAAAATCACTTAATTTTCTGCTTTTGTCTGACGTCCCTTGATCCCTTTAGATCTATGTTCAATAATCAACTCCTCCTTGAAATCATACAATGCTTTGACTCCTTTCTGTGGCAAAGAATTTCATAAGCTTACCACTGTCTTAGTGAAGAAATTTCTTCTCGTCTCAGTCCTTAAATGGTTTACCCCACATTTTTAGATTGTGATCCCTGTTTCTGGACTCCCCCGCAATTGGGAACATCCTGTATCTACCCTTTCTAGTCCTGTTAGAATGTTACAGTCTTTTACGAGTTCTCCACTCATTTTTCTGAACTCCAGAAAATATAATCCTAACTGATTCACCTATGCTCATACATTAGTCTCGCTATCCCAGAAATCAGTCTGGCAAACCTTCACTGCAATCCTTCTCTAGGGAGAACATCCTTCCTCAGAAAAAGAGATGAAAACCGCACACAATATTCCTGGTGTTGTCTTACCAAGGCCCTGCATAATTGCAGCAAGACATCCATGCTCCTATACTCAAATCCTCTCACTCTGAAGGCCAACATATTATTTGCCTTCTTTACCGCCTGCTGTACCTGCCTGCTTAGCTTCAGCAACTGGTGTATGAGAACACCCAGGTCTTGTTGTGCATTCGCCTGTCTCAATTTATAGCTATTCAGATAATGAACTGCCCTCCTGTCTTTGCTATCAAAGTAGATTACCTCACATTTATCCATATCATACTGAATCTGCCATGCATTTGCCCATTCGCTCAAACCTGTGCAAATCACACTGAAACTTTTCTGCATCCTACGCACAGCTCCACCCAGCTTTTTGTCATCTGCAAATTTGGAAGTGATATATTTAGTTCCCTCATCTAAATTATTCATATATAGTGTGAATAGCTGTAGTCCTAGCACTGATCCCTGCAGTACCTACTAATCAATGTCTGCCATTTGAAAAAAAACCTTTATTCCTAAATTGCTTTTGCTGAAAGCCAGTTTGTACTTGCTGGATAAAAGGGGTTCCTTCTGTGGAGTAACCATTCATTATTTCTATGAATGGACCAATGTCACAGAAGAGAGTCCGGTGGGTCCAAGCCATGTTCTATTTTCAACCTGTTTTCTTGTTATGCTAATTGTAACAACTTCATTTTGCAGGCATGAAATTTAGTTAATATTGTACGTCATTGATTAAGCAACACATTGAATTGATAGTTGAGAAACCTTGTTCTGTATATTAAATAATTTGTGACAAATACATTTTAACACAGGAGCTGTGATCATACTGAGCTGCAATTGAATGTCAGGAAGTGTTTTTTTTTGTTGAAGGACTGGGTTTCTAATATATTCTCCATTATTGTATTTCAGTGTAAAATGCATTTCTGTGGCCAGTATCCATATGAACTACTTTTATATTTCTGTTTAAAAAGGGTATTTTCTGAAGAATAAAGCTTTGATATGAAGGAGGATGAAGAAAAAGTGTCCACTTGCATTCTTTTTGATGATCATAACTGACCAACTGTCCTTTGGTTATGACTTCTCTGACACCCTTCTTGAGTCCTTCTTTTAGCTCTAAAGAATAATTATAAAAAGAGCATAGACATGGTCAGCATTAAAGTTTCTCCTGGCTCTTTTCCAGTGCTTTTATAATGGGAGTATTAATGGTTTTAGCTAAGTGTTTGATTTCAGTTAGGAAGTGGGCATTGATATAATAATAGAATCCCTACAGTGTGGAAACAGGCCACTCAGCCCAACAAGTCCAAAGAGCATCCCACCCAGACCCATCTCCCCACTCTATTCCCTGTAAACCTGCATTTCCCATGACTACTGCATTTAACCTACACATCCCTGAACACTGTGGGTAATTTAGCATGGCCAATCCATCTAACTTGCATATCTTTGGACTGTGGGAGGAAACTGGAGCACTTGGGAACACTAAAATGACATTGAAACTTTTTTTTAAAAAATATTCCCATTTAAAATAAAATGGTTTAAGATAACCAAACAGCTAAACTTGAAAAGCTGCTGTTGTAACTGTTAGATTCACTGGAAATCATATTCTTGATTTATGGCATGAATTTGGATATTCTATGGTGTTCAGTTGAAGGACAAAACTGAGGGAGAAGATACCAAGGTCATCCTCTACCTTTCTAAGAAAACCCTTTTTGTAGGTACTGGTGTGATCACTGGAACACTGTTCCAGTTGTTCTCTTGGAAATGCCTCAGGATTATTGACAATTCTTGAATGAACTGTGTTTGAAGACCCCAGTGACAACTGCCTGTGTCTAGTGACACCTAGTAAGACACCAACTAAAAGTCATCTTGAACATTCATACCTTTTCCTTTGTTCTGTCAATAGCTAACAATTATTAAATCAGTGTTTTTGGCCAAATTCCTGCAGACACACAAACAAAGCTGCTGGAAAAGCTCAGCAGGTCTGGCAGCATCTGTGGAGGAGAAAACAGAGTTAACGTTTCGGGTCCAGTGACCCTTCCTCAGAACTTCCTGCAGAGGAAGTTTTCTTCTTTTAATTGGTGTACATGTTGGATTTATTTAATATTTTCATATTTATACCTTTTTACATTATATTCATATTTCAAACTGTGTTGATCAGTGTTACATTTTTACTGAATAAGTCCTGTTTTCACAATAAATCAATAACTTTGTTGTTTATGAAAGAAGCCTAGTTGATGGACTTTTTATTATTTTAAACTTAGTAAAAGTGTACAACTGGTTATATTCCTAACTGGGTAAAGCTTTTAAGTTTATATTGTGAAGAGATACAGTTTGACAAGGGAGAGAGAGTACCCGCATCCAGCCTCAGTCATAATACCACATACGTACAGCCTCCACATCCCAAGTTTCAGGCAAAAGTTACATTTACTTTTTGTCTTCCTTTGGTACCTGCTTCCTCACTTTCTCCAATGTAAAAGAGGCCAATATCTTGTGGCAGGACCTTGTCCGCATGCCCTTCAGCAAACTGTGATGCAGAAGGGCTGGAAAGTCCTTTGCAGCATAATAACCACAGCTATAGTATTGTTCTGTATGCACAATGGACAGGAAACTAGGCTTCATAGTCTACAAGCCTTCTGGCATAGATATGTTATTGCATCATAGTGAAGGATTTTAGGAAGAGGAAGATCATTGGTCAAGCTAGCCTGTCCAACCAAGTAAGTTCTTGCTTTCCTGTGAGGTATTATTTGTAAAATTTAGAACTAAAATTCTATTCAAGTGCCATGAACTTGCCTGTAATAAAATATTACTTTATTTCAGAAAGGAGGAAGACTACTTGCAACAGATGAGGATATTCAGGCAGCTAATCCGATTGCCATCCTGAATCTGACAAGCTGTTTTGCTCTCTTAGTAAACTAGGTGCATGGCTACTAGTAAATTAATTAATGAAATACTATTTCTAATCAATTATCAGAAGAGAAATAAAATGCAGGGTTTAATGGTGTCTGTTTTCCTCTTCATCACGGTACAATAGATTGATTGGACGGACGCCTGTGTTGCATAAAGTTAGGCATAAGGAATTTATTATTTTATCATTCGTTATCATTTGATTGATAAATTATAGGTACTTTAGAACAATGTTACGCAAAATGGGTGGAGTCTTTCAGTTCTGGAGGTGGTAAAGCAACAGGATCATAAATGGGTAAGTGTCAAAAATTCAGAATCCCAATAGTGGGATAAACGTTTGGAATTAAATTTTCCAACATTGAACAGTGTGTCAATCTGCCTGAATGCAGGAGATGGGAAGCCTATTTTCTGCGTTTGCATCTCATTAAAAGCCCAAATTGGCAGAATTAAGTGCCCCTTCCTGATTATTTTACCCAACTGAGAAATGCATGCAGTCAGATACCTAACTGTAGTTAGAAGTATGCTCTTGGGGGTGCTGGACTTCTTGCTGCTTTGTCCTTATGGCCTGGTTTTAAAACCACTGTGAATAATTGAGTTGTGCTGTAGGTTCTTCAAGTGGAGCAGATGTGGCACCAAGGAATAGGATGATTGGAGTTGGGGCCAGGGTCGAGCACAGACAGACAACGGGTTGAAGGGTCAGTGGGGAAAGGAGGAGCCTACCCAGGGAATGCTTGCTAAGAGTTAGAATTGGAGGAATACTGTCCAAAGGATAGGAGAGTAGGCATTGCAGCATGCATCTGCCCTGTACTGAGTTGGTTGGGGTGATGACTGGGTAGGGTGCGTCTCACAGAGACCAGGGCATGTTTGGTTCTTTTGAAAGTTTATGTCTGTTGTCTGCGTGGCAGAGGATGCATTCACATACATATGAGGCTAGATGCTAGATCCAGAGCCAAAATAGGCCACATTTAGAGGGTAATTTCAAAGAAAATGATGATGAGAAAGATCAATCCACCACATTTGCCCAGGGAGGGCCTATCCACAAAAAGCAGGATGAAATAACTGCACAGATGCCAGTATCCTGTCACCTAGTCACCCTTTATTTACTTGTGCACTGGCTGCGCCCCAGCCAGCTCAGAGTCAGTCCTCAACTGAGGAGATTCTAATCTCCTGGTTATACTCTTCTTATTCAAATTTCACGTAAGTTAGTGTCACAGACAACACATAACATTAGTCACATTATATCAAAAACAAGCCACCGAAAACAAGACCATTAACAAAGATGATTCTACAGAAAATCACCCCAGTCCAAACAGTCGATTTGAATCCACATAAGACAAATGTCGCAAACACGACACATGGCAAGGTTATTGTACATTAGGCAACTCGCCAAAGAGCAGAGGCGTTGACATAAAATACTGTATAGAAACACAGCTCAGTTCAAACAGTAGTACAAAATCTTAAAAACAACAAACACATAGCACCAATTACAATGGATCATACAGAAACACAGCTTGGATCAAATGGTAGTACAAAACCGCACAGATAAACGCACAGTCCCCAGAGCTATTGGTCAGCCTCCTACACACAACAGGGATACATGCACAACAACATAATTCAGACACAAAGACATGGTCTGACACACACTAAGGCACGCTCTGACACATGCCAAGGCACAGTCTACGCATAAAGTGCCAGTACACCCATGGAGGCACGTTCCACACACAAAAGGTCAGTCTATGACCCGTAAACTAAATTAGTCGCACAAAGGCCAGGTCCTGTTACCAACTCATCCATTCACTTCACCGATACAACAGTACCACTGGCTGTAATCAGCCAGCTCAGAAATCATTTCTTAAAAACAGCATTACCACTGGCTGTAGCTAGCCAGCTTGGCATCAGTAACCTGAATTGAAGAGATTCTAATCTTCGGGTTATATTGGTCAGCCAAAGCTTTCCTGATTTGGCCCTCGTTGACAGCCCCATCGAGGACCTTGTAGTTGTAAACCCTGCAGAGATGTCCCGGATGAGATGACTGACATCCAACAATAACAACCTTTGTTCCAGCTCTGACTCTGACCAGTGGAGAACTTCCTCCTAATTCCCATTGACTCCAATTTTGCTAGGGCTCCTTGAATCCACCCTCAGTTAAATGCAGCTTTGATGTCAAATGGAATCACTCTCACGTTACTTCTGGAATTCAATTCTTTTGTCCATGCTTGAATCAATATTATGATGAGATCAGAGCTCAGTGGCCCTGACCAAACTGAAACTGGGCAGTAGTGAGCAGGCTATTGCTAAGCAAGTGCCACTTTATTGTACTGTTCCATCACTTCACAGATGGTCCAGAGTAAACTGATAGGGCTGAATTTCTCCTGCTTTTTGGGTACAGAAGACACCTGGGCAATTTTCATTCTTGTCAGGTAGACGCCAGTGTTGTAGCTTATTAACTTACTGTTACTATTTTAATGCTACCTGCCTCTCCGAGCATCTTGTGCACCCTGTTATTATTTTCTAATGTTCTCTCCTGGTTTACCAATCTTTGCTATTTAGTTTAAACCCTCCCCAACAACACTTAGCAAATCATCCCTCAAGGTACTCAATATCTATATGGTTTGTACCAGTGTGGACCATATGACATCTCAGACCCTTGTACCAGAGAGGCAACAAACCCTCAACTAGAATCCCTTAACAGTATTGCCCTTTCACTCTTCTTCCATGGATTTTATTCTTGCTACATTCCTCTAAGGATCCATCACTGTTATCTGGAACAGAAAACCCGATTAGTGAGCAGGACCTTGAGGGACTCCTGCACTAGCTGCCCATTTCTCTGGCAGGCAGCCATTTCCTACCTGCCTGCTTGCCCCTAACTTATAGTGTGACCATTTCTCTGAACATGGTATCCAGCCGTAGTTTCTTCAGCATCACAGATACACTTCAGTGACTAGTTGCTACTCGAGCTCTGAATCCTGGAACTCAGGCTTGTGCAGCCAGTGATTCTTCCTGCACATGGGCTCATCTAGGTCACAGGAAGTGGTCACACCTCCCCACATGCCATAGCACGGCCATTCCAATTGGTGAAGCTGTCCTACCGTATCTTTACTTATATTTTCAACTTACTT